TGTAGCTAGTACAAAATGAGTGTTATTCGGTATAAAATGTATTTTTAAGTTAATATTTTTGGGGGTGTGGAACGGATTAATTCAATTTACATTATTTCTTATGGGAAAATTCGTTTTGACTTACGACCAGTCTCTGGAAACGGATTAAATTCGTAAGTCGAGGCCCCACTCTATTAGGAAACGTGGAGGCATTGCAGTGCTGGTGAAAGAACACCTGAAGGTAAACGAAATAATGATTGCCAATTCACGAGAAGTTGACATAATAACTCTGGAGATTTGTAATCAGGATGATAAACTGATAATCATAAATATTACATACAGTTCACCATCATGCAACACAGGGACAAAAGAGGAGCTGGACAATAAACGAGAGGGTCTCATAACAATAATGAAGCAAGATCGGATAAAGACAGATCACCACTGCCGGTAGTCGGTGACTTTCAACTTGAAATCCATAGACATGGAGGCCTACGAAGCTCGAACGGAGGACTTTTTATTTGGACCTATAGATTTGTAAACATCTTCTTGGAGAGGTTCGTGTATCAATACGTTCAACAAGCTACAAAGACGTTCCTTCTATGCTGGATTTTATATTCACCAGGAAAGAGGGAGAGATATTTGACATTCAGTACCTTGCCCACTTGGGCAAAAGTGAATATGTCCTTTTGGAAATAAAATATGCAATACGTTATAATTTGGAAGAGAATGAGGAAACCAGAACAGCTTAAAAAAACAGATTTTAAGAGAGGACAGATTTTCTTTAAGAGAGGACTTACTATTCTTGTACAGCCACTAGTAAGCGTTTCGGGCAAGTCTGGAATACGATCCCCTGCCGCGAAGAATATCCAGTTCTGTTAATGTTAATTTGATGGGCGCTCGCGGAAAGGCGAGTGTCTTATGCTTCGGCAATTAGGCAAAGGCGAGTGCCTAATCGTTTTTTCATCCAAGTAGTTGCGTTAAACAGAGGCTACAGTTAAGGAATTGCAATACGAACCCATGACATAGAAGTAAGGCAAAGAAGTAAACGAGAGGCATGTCAAGTTTTGTGAAATATATGATAGAGGCACAAAAAAAATTAATACCAAAACAGGGATGAAGAATTTTGAAACAGGAACGGTTCACCAGAGACTATGAGAGGGTCTGAGACCAAAAGAGACAAAATGGAATGAATATCGGAACAGGCTGAACATAATAGACCTCAGACATAATAGCGGCACAAAGAAGCATGAAACAACTGCTCAGCGGTGATAAGAGAAGCAGAAAGAAATTTTGAGAATGGGATAGTGGACAAATGTAAAACAAAACCAGGCCTATTCTATAAATTCCTTAAAATCAAATTGCTGGTAAAGGAATTAATTTTCAATTCAGAGGTTGAAAATGGGAAACATTCATGGAAATGAAAAGGAAATGAGTGAAATTTTAAATGAACAGTTTCAAAGTGTGTTTGTGCAAAATGACATTTTCAAAGAACCAGACACAATAAGAACTCCAGAGAACAACATAGAGCACATAGCGGTGTCTAGAGACGAAGTACAAAAATGCTCAGGGAGCTAAGTAAGAGCAAAGCAGTTGGCCCAGATGGAGTTTCACCTTGCTTTCTGAGAGAATGCACATCTGAGCTCAGCATTCCACTTCAAATGATTTTTCAGGCATCCCTGTGTATAGGAGTCTTGGCAGATATTTGGAAAAAGGTTAACATAGTTCCAATCTACAAAGGTGGCAGTAGGGAAGACCCCCCCCCCCATAATTATAAATCTGTAGCATTGACAAGTGTAGTAGTCAAAATGTTGAAAAAAATAAAAATAAATGGGGGTAGAACGCCTAGAGAAAAAATGATATATTGTAATAACTGACAGACATTATGATTTTCAATCTAGAAGATCCTGTGTAACAAATTTACTTAGTTTCTATGATAGAGCCACAGATTTTACATGAAAATGGTTCGGTTGATTGCATTTATCTGGACCTTAAAAAAAGGCTTTCAACAGAGTTCCACATAAGAGGAGGTTCTGGAAACTGACGCATATCGGAGGAGTGACAGAGAGGCTTCTAACATGGATGATAAATTTTCTGAACAAAAAATGAGGGCAGTAATCAGAGGCAATGTATCAGACTGGAGAAATGTCATGAGTAGAGTACCATAGGGTTCAGTTCTTGCACCGGTAATGTTCACTGTCTACACAAACAACCTCCCAGAAGGACTATAGGATTATACAAACATATTTGCTGATGAGGCTAAGATACTAGGGAAGATAAAAAACATAACTATTGTCATACCCATCAAGAAGACCTGGACAAAATAAGTGTATGGCGCACCACTTTGCAAATGGAGTTTAATGTAAATAAATGCCATGTTATGGAATGTGGAATAGGAGAAAATACACTACACTCAACCTACAAATTATAGGAAAAAGCTTTACAAAATTATGATAGGGAAAGAGATCTAGGGTTGGTTCTAGTTATAAAACTATCACCTGAGGACCACATAAAGAACATTGTGCAAGTGGCCTATGCTATGCTTCCAATTTCAGAACTGCTTTTAAATACATGGATGGTGAGACACTAAAGAAATTGTTCAAGACCTTTGTGAGACCATATGTCAGGCTGCGAGCAGCCGCGTCCAACAGCCTGGTTGATCAGTCCAGCAACCAGGAGGCCTGGTCGACGACCGGGCCGCGGGGACACTAAGCCCCGGGGACACTAAGCCCCGGAAGCACCTCAAGGTAACCTCAAGGTAAGGACTACAGCTGAAATATCAGTGGTTGTATGGTGCCCATATCTTAAGAGGCATATGAACAAACTGGAAAAGGTGCAAAAACATGTAACTAAATGGCTCCCAGAACTGAAGGACAAGAGCTACGGGGAGAGGTTAGAGGCATTAAATATGCCAAACTAAAAGACAGAAGAAAAAGAGGCGATATGATCACAACGTACAAAACAATAACAGGAATCAAGAAAATTAATAGGGAAAAATTTCAGAGTCCTGGAACTTCAAGAACAAGAGATCATAGGTTTAAGCTTGCTAAACAAAGCTGTCGAAGAAACACATGAAAATTCACTTTCGCAGCGGTAGACAATTGGAACAAGTGAGGTGGTGGAGGCCAAAACCGTTAGTACTCTAGTTTCTAAGCGTTAAATGACAGAGTGCTGGGAAGACGGGACACCACGAACGTAGCTCTCATCCTGTAATTATACAGTACTTAGGTAATTACATTCTCATACTGGACATAGACAAGGACAGAAACTATAGTACTGTATTATCCTGATGACACTTCGATTTTTTAAAAGAGTAGACAACATAAAGAACACAGCAAATCTTCAATCTGATACAGTATAACTCGGGTGGGCCACAGAAAATAATATGGAACTCTATTCAAGTTTCAGCTCCTGTATCATGGAAAAAATTAAAATATTAAAATGGAAACTATGTAAAAAATTCAGCCAAATCATACCATAGAATGTAAAAGCAATGCTAAGGATTTGGGTATAATCATGTCAAAAGACCTATACGTTTAAAGAACACAATGAAGTAGCCATCACAACTCCAAGAAAAATGACAGGTTGGATAACAAGAACCTTTTAAACGAGATGCTATACCAATGATGATACTTTTCAAGACGCTTGTGCCCTCTAGAGTGGAATACTGCTGCACAATGACATTCCCTTTCAAAGCTGGAGAAATTGCTGACCTGGAGATAATGCAGAGGTCCTTTACTGCTAGAATCCACTGAATAAAACACCTAAATTATTGGGACTGACTAAAATGCCTAAATCTGTATTCTCTTGAGTGCAGGTTGGAGAGATACATATCTGTATCTGCACACAAAAATAGGGTCTCATTAGTCCAGTTGGGTTCGTTCTTGATTCACAATCAAGAATTCTAAATTCAATTCCCGGGCGGGACAGAAATGGTTGGATGCATTTCCTATCACCTAATGCACCTGTTTCCCTGGTAGTAAGTAGGTACCCAGGAGTTAGTCAGCTTCTTGTGGGGTTGCATCCTAGGCGGGGTCAATAATTCAACCCTGTACAGGACCTCAATACAGGCTTAACGTGTACTTATTTATTTATTTATTTATTTATATAAAAGAAGGTACATTGTGTTTGGCATGGTGTTTACAATCTTGTAAAGCTACTAGTATGCACAGCATTTTGGGGAGGTCCTCAATCTAACAGATAATTTTAAGTAGGTAAATTCTAGCAAAATTTTTAAAATGATAACAGGTACATTGCAAGAAAAAATTAAGACGAGAGAGATTAGTAGGTATATTAAAACACATCGGTAGCTCTGATTAATTGCACTGACAGCTTCTTTGGTAATTTAGCAAAGATTAATAGGCATAATACAGCAGATTGATAGCACATATAAGAAGACAGCAATGATCACAATGGTAAAGTTGTTTGGATTAGGTACATAAAGAATGGGAGATTGGGTAGCACTAGATACAGTGAAATTTTACATCACAAGGTAGGAAACTATGAAGATGAAATTAGGTACTTTTTAGTTTTGTTTTTGAATGGGGCAAATGTTGGACAGCTTTTCAATTCATTAGGGAGTGAGTTCCATAGACTGGGTCCCTTTATTTGCATAGTGTTTACACAGATTAAGTTTGACTCTGGGGATATCAAAGAGATATTTATTTCTGGTGTGGTGATAATGGGTCCTATTACATCTGTCCAGGGAGAGTTTCAGAGCAGGATTTGCATTTAAGAACAGGGTTTTGTAAATGTAGATGGCACAAAAGGTGTGAAGTGAGTTTATTTAGCATGTTTAGGGATTTAAACAAGAAGGCTGAGTGTTGTCTAATTCGTTCCTGGAATTCCCAATTGTGAGTCAAGAACAAACCCGACTGTCCTACCAGGACCCTTTTATTTAAGCAAGAGTACATAGACATACACATACATACACCGACATTATACATTCATACAATACATGAAGAGTGAAGGATCCATGGTGATAGGTTCCTAATACATTAGACTTCACCAAGTGATATAATTACCTGTACACTTGTAGGTTTTATAAGAAAATCCACAGTTCCTCTTGCCTGGAGAACACCAAATCCGGAATTGACCTTAAGGTCCTTGTATTTAAGTCTAACGTAATCTTTAACGGCATGATTGAAGAGACTTCTGTGCTTAACCCAGCGGCTCAGGTCTCCCAGCTGTGCCCAACAGGCTCCTGGTATGTTGAGGTTCCCTGTGAGGAAGGTACTCTGCCTAGGCCAGCTTGTGGCCGCCCTCATACACCGCAACACGCCCGCAGGACTCATCTTCCTGGCTGGTAGGGTAGGCCTATGGGAGGCTGGACTTCTTATGTAGACCTATGGGAGGCTGGACTTCTTATGTAGACCTATGGGCCCCTGTGGGAGGCTGGACTTATGTAGGCCTATGGGCCCCTGTGGGAGGCTGGACTTATGTAGGCCTATGGGCCCCTGTGGGAGGCTGGACTTATGTAGGCCTATGGGCCCCTGTGGGAGGCTGGACTTATGTAGGCCTACGGTCCCCTGTGGGAAGCTGGACTGACTGTGTGGGCCTAGGCCCACTAGAGCTGTGGGATGTTGTGTATAGAGGAGCCACGCCGACACAAGAGGCCACACAAGCGTGGCGGAGGCAGCAGTAAAGGCCACAGGTGGCCAGCTGGCTGTCAGGGGCCCGTGTCCTGCTGGGGACTGGTCACGGACCTTTCGTACACATCCTCCCCGGGGACTGGTCAAGTCGTATACTGCAATTTCGTATACCGGGCTAGAAACAACTTCGTTCACTGAGAAGTTTGTACATACAAACCATTCCGTTCGTATATGCGCTGGTTTGTGTTCGCTGTTGTTCTCGTCTGAATAAATACATGGCATTTGTTCATATAATTAGCGCTTCCATTATTAGAATTATTTATCCATTATTAGAATAACAAGGTGCAAACCATATCCCCTTACAGTTGAAATCTATTTATTTATATACAAGAAGGTACATTGGGTTGCGAGAGTACATAACATTTATTAAGAGGTACATTGTAGCAAGATTTGAGATTAAAGGATTTAAGACTAACACGTTTAGAAACAAGGCGCCCCCGAAGGAGGCTATTATTTGTTATGCACCCCATACTCAACCAGTAAGTAGTGGAGCAAAACATAGATTACATGGTCATAAAGTCTTAATGAGACCAATTCAATTAAATTTCTTTCTTTATTATGCACCCCATACCCATCCCGTGGGTGGTGGTGTAAAGGATTACAGAGGCGCATAATCGGTTCAGGAACTGAACCCTCTAGTTCGTTTAGCTAAGCAAATAACAATTTGTGACGCTAGTTACAAAATTATTAATATTATATATACATGTACACACTTTCATGCATACATGTACATATATATATACGTATACATATATACATACACATACATATCTAATCACCTACACAAATACACACATCAATAATCTTTGTGTCACAAGTGATCAACAAGAGGCTCACAACAGTCACTATACAAGGCACTTTACATCTATGGTGAGTCACACAGTTACTAGTCTTGCTGCACACCCACCCAACTGGGCGGCAGCTTTACAGTCATGTGCATGCATTACCTACAGTAAGCAAATTTTGGATATTTCGCTAAGATTTCGAGCAGCACATCATTATGAATGAAGTACTTACACATTTCTTGGACACTATTGATGGTGTTATCTCTAAATTCCGCGATTTTTTCACATTCCATTATATAATGACGCAAAGTAAGCGAATAGTTCTGCTGACAGAGTTTACATTTAGTCAAATCTACATCAGCAGATGTTACAAACTCCCAGAGGTACTTGTAGCCGAGCCTAAGCCTAGCAGTGGTAACATCTAGAAGTCTGCTAACATTATTGGATGACCCATAGACGTGCGGTTCTTCCTGCATAATAGAATGATGATAGATGGAGTAACTGGTGTGAATTTAACTTTGCTTCAAGTCTCCGAAATTTAGTTGATGTTCCTGTGATATTGCTACCCTCAGGCTGCTCAAAGGCAGTCCAAGTTTGTAATCAATTCCCTCTTTACGAACAAAAGTCTTGGGCAACTCATCAGTTCTCAGTGGCTATTTTTACATTATCATTTACAACTAATTTAAGTTAAATAACAACCAGTAAACAGACTGCTGTTTTCTAATTCTAGTTCAGACACTTCCTGGGATAAAACGCGAACATTCCTTGAGGAACTGTGAGGTGCTTATCTGTTTTTCCTCGTAACGGTCCCAAAGCTTCCACAAATGTTCCTGTTTCTCTTCATTGCCCTTGCGGCGACTGAACTTTAGCTTTTGATCAGAAACCAGTTGATATTGCAAGGTTACCAGGGACGCCTCACGGTATAGTAAGGGGATTAAAATATATAAAGCCAAGTTGTCCCTCACTGCCCTTTGATTCAGACGCTGGTGCCATCCTTCTACGTCATTGTTGGTCCTCACCAGTCGTCTAAATGCACACCAGTTCCCCAATTCCCACACACTGTTGCACAGCCACGTATTTTTTTATGTAATGAGTTAATTGTGTCGTTAAGGGTGAACTGCTAGCCGACTTTTCTAATTCAGCAAACGCCTTACAATTATGTAGTACATACGTACCACATAAGTACGTGTGTGTTATACACGTACACACACACCTTGTCAAGCACAGGACGAAGCTTGAAAAAGTTTAATGGTATGCCAATAGGCTAGTCCCAGGACTAAGAGGCATGAGTTACGAGGACAGGCTGCGAGAAATGCACCTCATGACACTGAAAGACAGAAGAGTAAGGGGAGACATGATCACTACCTACAAAATTCTCAGAGCAATGATAGGGTACATAAAGATAAACTGTTAACACGGGTGGTAGGCGAACAAGGGGACACAGGTGGAAACTTAGTACCCAAATGAGCCACTGGGATGTTAGAAAGAACTTTTTCAGTGTCAGAGTAGTTAATAGATGGAATGCATTAGGCAGTGATGTGGTGGAGGCTGACTCCATACACAGTTTCAAATGCAGATATGATAGAGCCCAGTAGGCTCAGGAATCTGTACATCAGATGATTGCCAGTTGAGAGGTGGGACCAAAGAGCCAGAGCTCAACCCCCGCAACCACAACTAGGTGAGTATACACACAAACACACACACGCGTACACACACAGACACAAACATACACACACTAATGCCTCTATTCACCTTGCAGTAAATAGGAACCTGAAAGTCAGGAAGCTGCTAAAGACTGCATCTTGGGGATGTGTGTGTGTGTGTAGATAAAAATATATGTTGTTTAGATATGATGGAGGAAAAGAGGCCGAGAGTCGGTACATTAGACAGCCGACGCTTAGAAAGGCGGGGTCCAAGAGCTAACAGCTAAATCTTGGAAATAATAAATTAAAATATTTAATACACACACATACATGTTTCACATGAATTTGGCTGAGGGCACACTGAGGGCTGATGGCCCCGTCGACGGGGCAGGAAGTCGGCGGTTGATCAAAGGCCTCCCCCATCCTCCACATACCTGAGGATTATTCCGGCTTAATTTTAAACGGAAGTAATGTCTTGGTATTTACGGCTTCAGCGGGTGGGTGGGTCCGTGGGTTTATTACACTATGAGTGAAAATGACGCCTGTCCACAAATGTGGTGATCTCACAGATGTTAACAACTACAGACCTATATCAATCCTGCCTAACTTGTCAAAATTTTTGAAAAACTAATCTATAAGCAGCTTTACTCATATCTAGCCAAACTCAATATACTTAGCCCTTGCCAATATGGCTTCAGGCCCCAAAAAAGCACTACCGATGCACTTATTAGTATGCTTAACTCGATTCATACAGCTCTTGATAAAAATGAGTTCCCTGTTGGGTTATTTGTGGACCTGCGTAAAGCTTTCGATACTGTCAACCACCAAAACCTTCTTCTTAAATTACATCATTATGGTGTCAGAGGACACTCCCTACAATACCTCAAATCCTACCTTACTGACAGGCTCCAATGTGTTTCTGTGAATAATACAATTTCTCCCACCCTACCCATCAACATTGGTGTTCCCCAGGGCAGCATACTTGGCCCTCTCCTCTTTCTCATCTACATTAATGACCTTCCAAATGCCTCCCAACACCTCAAACCAATTCTATTTGCTGACGACACAACCTTCATTTACTCCAGTCCTGATCCCCTTGCTCTAAATGCCACAGTAAATACTGAGCTAAATAAAGTCCATCTGTGGCTAACTGCCAACAAACTCACCCTTAACATTGACAAAACTTTCTATATTCTGTTTGGCAATAAATCCTCTAATCAAATAAATCTCAAAATAAACAATACCCAAATTTGTAACAAATTAGATGGCAAATTCCTTGGCATTCTCATTGACCACAAGCTGAATTTCCAGGGACACATTCTAAACATATCAAAAAAAGTTTCAAAAACTGTGGGCATTCTTTCTAAGATCAGATATTATGTACCACGCCCTGCCCTGGTGACTCTCTATTACTCCCTTATCTATCCATATCTCAACTATGGTATTTGTGCTTGGGGCTCTACTACCCAAAATCACTTACGTCCTCTAATTACTCAACACAAAGCTGCTATTAGGACAATATCCAATTCTGGCCCCAGACATCACTCGGTACCCCTACTCAAATCTCTGAATATGTTAGACATTAAGTCACTGCACATTCTCTCATGTGTATTATACATATATAAAACGCTAAACTATAATGCCAATCCTGATCTCAAAAGCTTCATAGAAGGTTGTAACAGAACCCATGAGCACCACACCAGAAATAAATACAGTTTTGATATTCCTAGAGTACGACTTAATCAAACCAGAAATGCTCTACAAATCAAGGGGCCCAGAATGTGGAATGACCTTCCCAACCATGTTAAAGACTGTACCTCTCTCAACCAGTTTAAGTTAAAAACGAAGCTATACCTAATAAATTCCCTGTAACCTACCTTACCCCTCTGTTGTCAACCCATGTATGTTTTTTTTTTTTTTTTTTTTTTCAAATCAACGCTGTTTGAATGTAATTTTCTGTAATAATTTGTAATTGTATTTGTGCTGCTTTTTCAACAATGTTCCCCCCTCTTTTACCTCTACTTTTATTTGTTCTCAACACATTTTATTCTTTTTACCCATTAGTTTTAAGCTTTAGTCATTAATGTTTTTCCTGCCCGAAACGCTTTGCGTAATAGTGGCTTTAGGCATTGTATGTACTAGCTCTATCTATAAAGCCAACAAACTTTGTAAAATATCTTTATGTATGTACCTTACCTAAATAAAAATTATTATTATTATTATTATTATTATTATAAAACAATCGCCTGTTCTCTATTTTATATTGCCGCTTGTAGAGCTAGAAGCTGTTGCCTCTTGTGTGCGTTGCACAAGGGGATTAATATCTTTCAGTATTTCCAGTATTTTTTAATGTATCGCTTAAATACCGAAGATACTGCTATTGGACACCGCTTAATTGACAATGTCTCAACAACGCAGGCTGAAGATGTGCGTGGCTCCTGCTACTGCAATGATGCTCATTTGCTTTTCAGTGATGCGCCTTAGTTGCCCCTCTCTAACTTACCGTTCTAAATACCCCTTCTCCATCTCTCGCAAACATTCCCCCCTCATACATCTCCCCCCTTTCCTCCTGTCCCCCTGTCCATCTTTGTCCCTCACTTTGTCCCCTTGCCCACATTTTCTGTCCTCTGTCTCCGATCCCTTCCCTCCTGTCCCCTGTCCCCATCTCTGTCCCCTTGTCCCCCCTTTCCATCTCTCTGTCCCCCTATCCCTCTCTATCCCATTGTCCCTCTCCCTGCCTCTCTCTGTCCCCCTGTTCCTCTCTGTCCTCCTGTTCCTCTCTCTGTCCCCCTGTCACTCTCTGTCCCCCTGTTCCTCTATGTCCCCATGTCAATCTCTGTCCCCCTGTCCTTCTCTCTGTCCCCTGTACCTCTGTCCCCCTGCCCACTCTTTCTGTCCGCTGTCCTTCATCTGTCCCCCTCCCTTTACTCCAGTCCCCCTATCCATCTCTGTCCCCTTGTCCCTGTCTCTGTTCCCCTGTCCCTATCTCTGCCCCCTGTCCCTCTCTCTGTCCCCCTGTCCGCCCTTTCTGTCCCCCTGTTCCTGTCCTTTTCTGTCCCTGTCCCTCCCTCTGTCCCCCTGCCCACTCTTTCTATCCCCTGTCTCTCCTCTGTCCCCTCTCCTCCCCTCTGTCCCCCGGTCCCCCTCTCTGACCCTGTCCCTCTGTTCCTGTCTCTCTGTCTCTGTCCCTGTCCCCCTCTCTGTCCCTGTCTCCTTCTCTGTCCCTGTCTCCCTCTCTGTCCCACTGGACCCCCTCTGTTCCCCCGTCCCTCCTCTGGCCCTCTGCTCCTGTCCCTCTTTCTCTGCCTCTCCTCGTTTCTGCCATTCTCTGTGTCAGCCTATCTCTCTGTCTCTTTCCTCGCTCTATCTCTGTCATTCTCTCACTGACTTTGCATATCCTTATCTATCCGTCTCTGTGTCTAACATTCTCTCCCTGACTCTGTCTATATCTATTTCTCTGTCTCGGTCTTCATCTCTTTCTCTCTCTTTCTCTCCTCTCTCTCTCTCTCTCTCTCTCTCTCTCTCTCTCTCTCTCTCTCTCTCTCTCTCTCTCTCTCTCTCTCTCTCTCTCTCTCTCTCTCTCTCTCTCTCTCTCTCTCTCTCTCTCTCTCTCTCTCTCTCTCTCTCTCTCTCTCTCTCTCTCTCTCTTCCTTACTCCTTACATACATACATACATACATACATACATACATACATACATACATACATACATACATACATACATACATTTATTTAACACATGTGGTACACGCACAAGGGGACACAGGTGGAAGCTGAGTACCCAAATGAGCCACAGAGAGATTATAGAAAGAACTTTTCAGTGTCAGAGTAGTTAATAAATTGAATGCATTAGGCAGTAATGTGGTGGAGGCTGACTCCATACACAGGTTCAAATGTAGATATGACAAGAGCCCAGTAGGCTCAGGAATCTGTACATCAGTTGATTGACGGTTGAGAGGCGGGACCAAAGAGCCAAAGTTCAACCCCCGCAACCACAACTAGGTTAGTACATACATACATACATAAGATATAAAACAATGGAGGATTCCCAGGTAGAACAATCAACCACAATGCCCATTACCCCTTTACCCTGTTGTCCTTAACTACACAACTATACAAGAGTCATTAACACGTATAATGGCTGATCCCCCATCACGATAGCATGAAGACCAATTGCCTGACCCGCAGTCCGTCTTGCTCCTCAAATAATTTTCGGGTTAACATGAAAACGTCTCTCGAGTTTATCTCTCTAATGTTGTTTTCCCATCTTTCATTTTATCAGCTTAGTTCCTTTATTATGCCCCAATTACTCATCCATTGAGCGGTAGCTAAACTGAACCCAAATTTAAAAAAAGTTCCTTTTGCTAAGCAAGCTACAGTCTTGATAAAGTCAGATATATTGTTTGTTAACACAATTCTCAACAATGAACAGTCAGTTTTATCAAGCTAACATATCCTAACACAACGAGTGAGAGTATTAACTGGTCTAATTATTTTATTAGACCAGTATATATTATTAGATTATACTGGTATAATATATATATATATATATATATATATATATATATATATTATTAAATATGACCGAAAAAGTAAGATTAATAATTCTAACACGAATTTTCTCAATCTTTCGTACATTACGCTTCACTGTTGGAGGTAAATCAAAAATCACTTCTCCAAAATTCATTTTTATTTCTAGTCTGACGCGACACGGGCGCGTTTCGTAAAACTTATTACATTTTCAAAGACTTCACAAATACACAACTGATTAGAACTTACGTATCTCTGCTATTATATCTACATTTGAGTGAGGTGGGAGGGATGATGTGGCATATAGTGATGTGGCATTAACACAAGACAGAACATGAGGGGATATAATAGGGTATTAAAAGTATCAACACAAGACAGAACAGAAACAATGGGTATTGAATAGAAGTGTTTGTAGAAAGCCTATTGGTCCATATTTCTTGATGCTTCTATATTGGAGCGGAGTCTTGAGGTGGGTAGAATATAGTTGTGCAATAATTGGCTGTTGATTGCTGGTTTTGACTTCTTGATGTGTAGTGCCTCGCAAACGTCAAGCCGCCTGCTATCGCTGTATCTATCGATGATTTCTGTGTTGTTTACTAGGATTTCTCTGGCGATGGTTTGGTTATGGGAAGAGATTATATGTTCCTTAATGGAGCCCTGTTGCTTATGCATCGTTAAAACGCCTAGAAAGAGATGTTGTTGTCTTGCCTATATACTGGGTTTTTTGGAGCTTACAGTCCCCAAGTGGGCATTTGAAGGCATAGACGACGTTAGTCTCTTTTAAAGCGTTCTGTTTTGTGTCTGGAGAGTTTCTCATGAGTAGGCTGGCCGTTTTTCTGGTTTTATAGTAAATCGTCAGTTGTATCCTCTGATTTTTGTCTGTCAAAAGACAAAAAGACTCCTCTATTTGCATTCCTCTCTCGTCCTGTCTAAGCTCGATTATGGTTGCCCTGCATACTCTTCTGCTTCTACTCTTCGCCGTCTTGATCCTTTGCACCATACTGGGTTGCGCCTCAGCTCTGGTGCTTTTCGTTCAACTCCTACCCTCAGCTTGTACGCTGACATTGGCTTTCTGTCTCTCCAGGATCGCCGTGATCACTACAGTCTTCGCTATCTTGCGCGATCCTTACAGCATCCTCACTCTCGCCTCTATCGTGCTTTGACTTATACCCCTCCAGTAGTTCCTGTTCCTCTTCACCACCTTCCTCTTTCTGTCCGTTTGTCTCGCTTACAAGATTCTCTTTCGGTTCGTCTTACTAATGTTTCTCCTCGTATTGTTCCCTCCTTGCCCCGTGCAGGGTTGCCAGATTCAAATTCCTAAAAGTAGCGAGCTGACGGTCAAAGAGTAGCGAATTTGCAAGTAGAGTAGCCCATTTTTTGTTTAGTCAAATCGAATCAAATCAAATGTTTATTCAGGTAAAAGTACATACATACAAGAAGAGTTACAAACATAATGTTAGAGTTCTAGATAGCGACAGTACATACAGACAGACGACATACAAATATTTTATATATATTTTGTCCGTGTTTGTTGTCCGATATATTTTGTCCGTGTTTTAATGTTTCACTGTGTTTCTTTAAACCACTTCTATGAGCTCTTATCTCAGTTCTACAAACTTTACAATATGTCTTATTTCCATCTTCTTTCACTTCAGCCAACCACTTTCCAAACACGGGATCCTTAAGCCAGGACATCTGAAACGCTTCCTGGTATTTAGACCACTTCCCCATTTTACACTTCTTTATCTTAATACTTAAGCAAATTCTAAAAGTAACAGCGGTAACTTCTTTTCTATATGCGGTAACTTGTGTCGAACTATCCTTCTGGAGGTCAGAGCCACACTAACAATGAAAGCACAGTTGAAGCTGCCACGTTCACTGTATGCTAATCCGCTCTAACGACAGTCATTTGATTCTTGGAAACACCTAAAGAGAAACCAAATATTTACAGTAGTCAACAGTGGGAGGTCACTTAACATAGACAGTACCCGGGATGAAGTATTAATGGCAATTAAGGTTGGGAAATCTATAGCCCCTGGGGAGGATTATCTTGCCTCGCGGTTACTTTTTCTATGGGAAGTTCCTAGGATCAACGTCCCCAGGGGGCCGGTCGCTGACACTGGCCTCCAGCGGTAAGAGGTCTATTCAATCAAGCTGTTGGACGCGGCTGTGATTTGTACACATGACATTATAAAAAGCATAAAAATCATCATTGAGTTTCTTAACATTAATAGCCCAAAACAGCCCAACTTTGTTGACCAGACCACACACTAGAAATTGAAGGGACGACGACGTTTCGGTCCGTCCTGGACCATTCTCAAGTCGATTGTGAATCAAGTCGACAATCGACTTGAGAATGGTCCAGGACGGACCGAAACGTCGTCGTCCCTTCAATTTCTAGTGTGTGGTCTGGTCAACATACTTCAGCCACGTTATTGTGACTCATCGCCTGCACAGCCCAACTTGTTTTTAAAGTAGCCCAAAAAGTCGCAAGTAGCGAAATTAAACATTTGGGAGCGCGGGACTCTGAAAAGTAGCCCAATTCGCTACTTGTAGCCCAATCTGGCATCCCTGCCCCCGTGGAGGGTCCCCCTTCCAAAATTTTGTACTTCTCTGACCCCGCATCACTAAAGCTTTTACCCCTCCCACAGTTCTGAAACGCCTTCCTTGAGCATTTTTCTTCTCACTCCCACTCCGTTCTCATCTTCACCGATGGGTCAAAGTCTGCTGACGGTGTGGGCTACTCTGTTGTTTTTCCTGACCACACTTATATGTGTCGCCTTCCTCCGGAGGCTAGCATCTTCACAGCGGAGCTTTATGCTATTCTCTATGCTCTTCGTCTCCTGCTTTCCCGGGGGCAATCCTCCTTCGTGGTAGTAGTTGACTCTCGTAGTGCCCTCATGGCTTTAGGGTCCTTTAATCCAGTCCACCCTGTGGTCATCGAGATTCAACATTGGCTGTTTCTTATCTCCAGTAAATTTAAGTCGGTTGCGTTTTGCTGGGTTCCCAGCCATGTTGGTGTCTCTTTAAATGAGCGTGCGAATGCTGCTGCTAAGGACGCTATCTGCACTTATGCCATCTCCCATAAAGGTGTTCCTTATTCCGACTTTTACCCAGTTATTCATGCCTCCATCCTTGCTCGATGGCAGAGTTGTTGGTCTTCTGTTACTGGTAACAAACTGCGTACTCTTAAGAGTCGTGTGTCCCAGTGGCCTTCCTCCTGCCACCGTAACCGGCGGTGGGAAATGGCTCTGGCTAGGTTACGTATTGGCCATACCCGTTTAACTTATGGTCACTTAATGGAGCGCCGCCCTGCTCCATATTGTCCAAATTGCATTGTCCCTCTTACGGTCGTACATATCCTTGTTATATGGGGAAACATACATATGGGGAAATGGTGGGGAGGATGGGGGAGTGGGAAATGGTTGAGATGACGAGGGGAAGGGGGAGGGGGGTAATGGTGGGGAGGACTGGGAGACGGGAAGGTTGCTGTGGCTCAGCATCGCATGAGCCACAGCAACGAATGGCCGGGTATTGCTAGTATAATTATAAATTCATTGTGGGTGTTAGGTTATAACTCTTGTCCCATTAATTCAGATAATTGTCTTGTATTATTTTCCAAGCACATGTCATTAACACAAGATGTTGATAATTTTGTTTTACGTAATACTTTGAGTTGTATTGTTCATATGTGATACACAGACATGCCTATGTTCTTCATGCTCTTGTTCCAATTAATGCATTGTTACCATGATTTTTTTTCACTTAGTAAGATTATGTTCTTATTTTTGTGCACATGCCGAGCGGTGTTAGTATTAACACACACCTGATCCATCTTTTAATGTTTAATCTGAAATTTTACATGTAAGCTATTATTGTATGCCATCAAGGTCCTTCAGAATCATTGTATTTAAGTAGCCGGAGTTTAGTCGGCAAGGGACGACGACTTGGTAGCGAGTCTGAGTGGTGTCAGCTTTCAAATTGTAAGACTGATGGAGTATAGCCAATCTTGAGGCAGTTAGGCCTATATAATGTCATTTCCCAGAGAGCCGCCAAGCCCACTCTAAGTGGAAGCTGCCAGTATCTCACAGACCTACACAGAGTAGGACCTCGGTGCTTCAGAACTATCTTACTTACCTTACTCAATAAAACCCTGTGAAGCGATCTACAGTGTCTCTCTCTTCAGTCCCAAGCAAGATCCAGTCAACAAACCAACTGTCCCCAATATTGGGACGAACACACACCAACACACACACACACACACACAACAACACCACACACACACACACACACACACAACACCACACACACACACACCACACACCTATATATATCTTATATAATATATAATCGATATAGATATATCTATATATATATATTATATATTGACAAAGCTATACAAAAAACTCCGCCCCCCCCAAAAAAAAACCATAAAATACTCTTTGGCACAATAATGTGAAAACCATGTCCAAAAATATTAAAATAATCGCTAATGAATCTTTAAAGCTAAAGGCTGACGGCAGTGTGTTGGGGCAGACACCAGTTGTCTCCTTCTAAGCACCCCAGAGGCAGAGGTGGCGGCCCTGGCCCATATTAGACACCCCCAGAGGCAGAGATGGCGACTCTGGCCCATATTGGACACCCCCAGAGGCAGAGGTGGCGGCCCTGGCCCATATTAGACACCCCCAGAGGCAGAGATGGCGACTCTGGCCCATATTGGACACCCCCAGAGGCAGAGGTGGCGGCCCTGGCCCATATTAGACACCCCCAGAGGCAGAGATGGCGACTCTGGCCCATATTGGACACCCCCAGAGGCAGAGATGGCGACTCTGGCCCATATTGGACACCCCCAGAGGCAGAGATGGCGACTCTGGCCCATATTGGACACCCCCACAGGCAGAGATGGCGACTCTGGCCCATATTGGACACCCCCAGAGGCAGAGGTGGCGGCCCTGGCCCATATTAGGACACCCCAGAGGCAGAGATGGCGACTCTGGCCCATATTGGACACCCCCAAGAGGCAGAGATGGCGACTCTGGCCCATATTGGACACCCCCAGAGGCAGAGATGGCGACTCTGGCCCATATTGGACACCCCCAGAGGCAGAGGTGGCGGCCCTGGCCCATGTTGGACACCCCAGAGGTAGAGACACGGTCACCGTGGACACCCCAGAGAGAGAGAGGAGAGTGACAACACTGGCCGAGGCTCGCAGCCTCCTATGCAAAGTCTCTATTTTAATCAGTATTTTACGGCCATTAACCACATGCCACTGTATTCCTGGAAAACCAATTATCCGGAG